TGTTTGTACTATGAGATGATAAAATATTACTAGTACGATGCAGCATTTGCAGTTCATGGTTGCAAGTTGGTACGTTCATCAGTTCATGGCCCCAAGACCATGGTGACAGTGTGGCACTGCTACGTACTCCATGGTCCACGACCATTATAGACACACTTGCTTCTCTCTATGCAATACTAGTGATTTAAAAAGTTTGATTTTTTTTTCTTTGTGCTCCTTATACAAGGCGAATCATATCTTAAGATCTCATGTGTGCATATATGGAAAACACGCAGTACAAGTAGATATAGCTACAAATGGAGTACTATAGTAGTAGTCACTAATAAGTAATAGTACTACTTTGATGGTGATATCCCATTCCCACCACTGTTTTTTGGTTTGCAAAAGCAAAACCTGAAGAAAAGATCAAAGCTTAAAAGCAACCAGTGGAAGCTAAACGTAGGGAAAAGGGCAGTGTCCCGGGGTTCGCAATGCAAGTTGCCACCAATCAAGGGTCTGTTTAGTCCCGATAAAATTTTTCGCGCTATCACATCAAATCTTTGGACACATGTATGAAGTATTAAATGTAGACAGAAAGAAAACCAATTACACAGAGTAATTTCGCCATGATTTGACAATGTGATGCTACAGTAAATATTCGCTAATGATGGATAAATTAGGCTTAATAAATTCGTCTCGCGGTTTTCTAGTGGAATCTATAATTTGTTTTGTTATTAGACTACGTTTAATACTTCAAATATGTATCTATATATCCGATGTGACATGCAATGGCAAGAATTTTTTTTCCAACTAAACAGGCCCCAAATGGAAGCAAGGAATCCTCTTAAAAAAAGAAGGAAAAAAAAAGGGAAGCAAGGCCGGAATGGCTACAGCTACAACCCGGCACACCGTATACGTACAGCACGTCGTCATAGGCTGCAGGCCGGCATCCATGACGCACCGTGGTCACTGGTCACGTGTGGTCAGGGCCCCAAGCAGCAGCCGGTCGGCTCGCGGGTTTTCTCACCGATTTGGCGGAGGCAGGGAGGCATGTGCTTTGCTTGTAGCGGCAGAGGGCACCTGCATGCAGCCTGCTGGCTGGAGACTGCAGTAGAGTGTTTGTGGTAGCCAGTGAGCCGGCGTTGTACGGATAGCCAGCCATAACTCTACCGCGGCAGACACTGTAGTACTAAGTTGTTACTACCAGGCCAAACTACTGCCTGCTGCTCCTTCAACTCTTGACCGGTTGGGAGTATGACGATTATGATGAATAGCCTGCGCAGGTTTGGACAATCGGACAGCTGGACCATTCGGATCAGGGTTTAGCTTTTCGTTTGAATGTAAAAACCACTTCTCACCGGTTTATTGGAAACTGAAAAAACATTAACCATTTTATATCTATATCGTACGAAAAACACAACCAAAACCGTTCAGTTTCCACAAACTGACCATTGACAGTTTCATCAAAATCAAGTTGTTTTCACGAAAACCGTTCAATTTTATTAATCCTTATTCGGATTATCAATGAGAGAAAGCAAGCAATAAGGGTACTATAGTAACATGCGAGAGAGCTAAGCAGAGTGACCACCAAACAAGCACATGAGGTCCTTGGGAGCATAGGTGCAAGGCGAAGACAAAATCAACAAAATGCATGTATTTTGTTTGGTTTACATAATCAACATATTTTGTACAAATATCATCTTAGGGAATTTACCATGCAAAATGGTGTGACCTCGGGGGGAAAAAGTGTGTCACGTGCGCTAAAGCCATTATCGAGGACACACCCATTACATAACCGCGGCCAACACACTGCTCATATATATGAAGCAACTTTATAGAGCAGTGGATTTCAATTGATGGGACCGGATGTGACTTGTATTGGCTTGTGTCAACTTGCATTGGTTTGATATTTCGATCATCTCCCTTCCTTAAAGGCCTTATTAATTAGGGTGTTTATTTGTTCCAAAAGAACTCAGGAGACAAGTTAGGGTATAGTTCCGAGTAGTTTTGGTCGGTAGGGCTAGGTCTTCCATTCTTATCAAGAACTCATTTATCTACTCCGGACTACATCTTTATTTCAGAGTTTTGTTTTCGTGTAGGAGTTGATATATGATGTTTTACACTTAGATACTTATTTAGTCCTAAAAAAACTCAACTTAGGTGGGGATGTGACCCCTTATTGTATTAGGATGTGTCACATCCAACCTAAAACCTTATATTTAGGGGAATGAGATCAGAGAGCTACATTGCCATGATTTTGGAGGTATTTTTAACTGTCCGATCCACAATGTACGAACGAGATCGATCGGTACAATAAATCGGTGGACAGTACCTCGTGCAGTCAAATCCACTGTTTTTCACTATTGCTGCCGTAATAAACCGCACGTTCTTGTTTTGTACTGTAGCATAAGACTCAAATTACTGTGCTTCCCTGACTTTAAATGCTAAAGTCAGAGGAGTCGGTTCCATATATATTTAGGGGAAGAGGGAGTATGCACTAGGCAGATTTTAAATTGTGGATTTGATGTTGGTGTCAACTGACTTTTAGGGCTCGATCTTGTCGAATTTAATTAGTTGACAAATGCTCATACATAGGTAACTTGAATGGTTGTGCTATACACTGAATTATCTGTGTTACACTAATCTGAGGTATATATGTGAATTGTTGGACGCAAGTGCACGTCTTTGTATTCTGGAAAGCAATAGTCGTGCATATAAAGTGCACACGGGTGCTTTAATTTGACTATATCATATGGAATGGAAGAGCATATATGCTAGCTACTCCTATACGAGTACAAGTACTAGTAGTAATTAATCAACATGACAGTATTTATTTATCGACCCACTGGGTCTATGGACTTTTTTGCCCTTCACCGACGACGACATGAAAGAAACCAACATAACACTATTAGTTTTTGGCTCGTTGCCTCTCTTTGTTGTGGACGCGATGCCGCCACGAGGCCCCGGGGAGCTTTCTACTGGTACGTTCTGTAGCTTCGTACGTCCATCCGGGACCACGATCACTGGCCGCTTGATATCTGCAACCTACAGGCTACATTCTGTATGCTCGACTAATTAATAATCATCATTAACAAACCTGTCACTTAGACTAATATAATCATCGTTAACGAACCTGTCGAGTAAGCTGTGTGACGAGTTGACAGGCCGGATTTGTTGGAATTATGTGTGCGCTATAAGCCCATATGGATATGGATAATAATCTCATGAAAATCAGAGAAACCCATCTCATAGAATACATGCATATCAACTTCAGTACCACTTACTATTCTAGGAAAGTGAGACCACTTAAAAAGAAGGGTTAATTAGACACATGCCATTACTAATTTGAAGGTTTGGAAAAATGCCATTACTATTTGACAAATTGTAAAGATGCCATTACAAATCGCACGATACTGGAAACATGCCACGTTCTACGCCTGATCCGCGATTGTACTCGTTTTTATGCGTACCGTATTTACGTATGGACCATAATGCCCTTATGTATGAGTATGTAGGGACCGAGTGGAATCAGTTTGACCAAGTGCATTCACAGTGAACCGTAAACCTAACACTAGGCTTCTCCGGCGGCGGCGGGATTTGGAGGCGGCGTTGGCGATGGCATCGGGCTTTGGCGGCGTCGGTGGCGGTGGCGGCAGCGTCGGCGGCAGCGGCGGGCTTTGGCGGCAATGGCGGGGAGAGGCAGCCCGATTCATTCGACGGGCTTGAGCGGTTGCAGCTTTCAGCGCACACGGGCCGCAGCGTCGTCGGCACCATGGTTGAGATGTGCTTGCGGCAAAGCCGCTGTAGTGAACAAATCCAACACCCCGAGGAATCCAAGGCGGCGGTGGATTCAGTGCGGGAAAGAGGTAAACCCCATTGTTTTTCATTTTCTTTTGTTGAAATTCCTTTCTTTTTTGTTTCGTTTTCTTGATTGATGCCATTGATTTGAGATGTGTTGTGCAGCCAAAGTGTTGCTCGTTGTGGATATGGGAGGATCTGTTGAACGAATATGTGGAGGAAATGGTTGCTTATTCCCATGCTGGCGAGGACGATGGTCTAAGAGACATGTTGCGACAGCTTGCAGAAGAGCATAAGGAAGAGAGGTCGAGGATGCAGGGTTTGGTTGAGGCAAACCATAGGCAGATGCAATCCATATATCAGCAGCTGAATGATTCTAAGAAAAAGTGTGAGCAGCTAAAGAAGATGTTGAAAGAAGAGAAGTGTAGTCGTAGTAGACAACTTTATGTGATGTTGTTCTTGTTGGCCATAATTATGTATTTCTATGTATGTTCTGTAAATTTTGTGGCCATATTTGGTGCAAGTAGGTAAATCAGTGCCATTCTGTGTAATGTTAATCACTGTCTATGAATTATGTGGATTCAATTTCTGAGTAATGACATAGGTGTGTTAATTATGTGGATTTAATTTCCCACTCTGGGTGCTCTGTTAAGGATAAGTCTGGCAGCTCAAGGTACAAGCTGATATTGTGTGTTTGCAGCAAGAGCTAACTGCTGACTCCTACACTAAAGCTATGCTAATATATGTTCACTTGGTGTAAAAAAAAGGAAGGTATAGGACATCGAAATATCTTTTGGTGTGAAGTATATAAAGAACTGAAAGTTCTGTGTTTTTATTTCCTCTTTGAAAAGACTGCCCATCATTGAGACAGATGAAAAAGAAGTACAGGAAAATGAGTTCACAGGAAATTTGTGCATTCAGATGGTATTAGTTGAGATGATCAGCAACAAATATTTCGGCAACAAATATTTCACATGGTATAAGTTGAGATGATCAGCAACAAATATTTCACATGGCATGTGTTCAGATGATCAGCAATATTTCACAATATGGACTGCATGTTCACAAGTTTGGACTAATTTCAGCACACTGCATGTTCACATGTTGCACACAGTGCATATCACAGTGCCAGGCAACATAGGCCTCAAAATACAGGTTCAAGACAGTGGCAGGTAACATGAAGGCCTCAAAATACAATATAGAGTGCATATCACTACAGCAAGTCAGGAAGGCATCAAAATACAATATATAGTGCATATCACAGTGGCATGTCAGCAAGGCCTCAAAACACACAAGCTTCAGGATTGTAGATATTGTGACAGGCTTCTAACAACTTTAGCTGGGCCTTCTGAGGCAGCTCGAGCATCCTTCTTCTTCTGGGGTGTCTTCTTTTTCTTAGGCGTCTTCTTTTTCTTGGGTGTCTTCTTCTTCTTAGCAGGCCTTGATGAACTTTCATCTTGAGTTTTCTTCCTGCAAACAGTGATATGGATATGTTAGTTAGCAAATGCAACATATGTAAAAGAATTCAAAATAAATAGTCAACCATGCAGCATATTACCTCTTCTTGGGGGAAGCAGTAGGCACTTCATCAGTGTCTTCTGGTGCTTCAGCCTCTTTGCAAGTCTTGGCAAAGTGCCCAAAACCATGGCATCTCCTGCATCGCACTCTTCTTGCCCCTGGTTCAAGTGCACCCCTGATCCTAGTGACTCTAGGCCTCCCTGCACCCCTCTTGAGTCTAGGTGGACAGACTTTGAAGCCTAAATTCACCACAGGCCATTGTGATCTGTCTGGCATAGTTGGCACTCTCCCTGCATAAGCTGCTCTGAACATGCCAACAGAAAAGTACTCTAAAACAAAATCTTTAATCTCAACTCCTCTGTTGGAACATATCCATGCCAAGGCATGGTTGCAAGGTTTTCCTGAAACCTGCCACTTTCTGCATGAACATGTTTGGTTGATCAAATGCACAGTGTGCCTTCTGGTATTGTTGTCACTCTCAACCAATGTGATCTCAGCCATGTCATCATCACTCCTAGCAACCTTTACAACTTTCAGGTTGGTTGTTGCTGCATTGAGCTGTTTAATCACACTGGGCAGGATTCCATCAGTCAACTTCTCACCAACTTGTCTCCTCAAATACATCTTCTCCATGAATAACTCTCTAAGAGAATCAACTAGCTCATGGAGATGTAGACCCTTCAGAGATTTAATCTGATTATTGAAACTTTCAGATGCATTGTTGGTCAAGTAATCACAGTTGCAAGTTTCCTTGAAACCAGACCTATACCATATCCTTGAATGATGTTTGTCTAGGTAATCAATGGCTTCAGGACAGAAATTATAAATCTGCTGCATATGATCTCTAAAACCATCCTCTGTGAAGCATCTTGCAGCAGGATACAAGTGTAGTGTGAAAATAGGACCCCTAAACTTCTTCATAAAATTACCATAAAGGTGTCTCATGCACTCCCTATGTTCAGCTTTCTCAAATGCAGCACCTACAGCTTTCTCTAGCCCTTTGCATGCATCTGTTGATATGACTAACCTTTCAGGAGCACCTATAGCTCCATGCAACTGTTTCATAAACCACAACCAGTTGTCATCTGTCTCTGAGTCAAAAATTGCAAATGCAACATAAAACAACCAATTGTGTCCATCAACAGATGTGGCTGAGGCTAGCTGACCAGTGTATTTACCAGTTAGTCTAGTTGAATCTACACCTATATATGGCCTACAACCATTAACAAATCCATCTACACATGTTTTGAAAGCAACAAACATCCTTTTGAAACACATATTTTTCCCTAACTTCTGCAAATCAATTGTAACAATTGTACCTAGAGACCTCTTCTCAATCTCTGCCTTCCAGTTGAACAACAGCTGAAAACTATCTTCATAAGTGCCATGAATCTGGTTCTCAGCAAGCCTCCTTCCTACCCAAGCCTTTGAATACTTCAGCTTGATCTCATATCGCTCTTCAAGTTTCTCTTTTGCTGCCTTAGCTCACTTGTCAGGGTTTTTCTTTAACCAATCCTTCAGTCTATCTGCAATCCAGTCTTGAGTGGCCATCTTCCCTTCCATGAGCTTGGTTGTGGGACACTCATGTGCAAATGGTAGCTTCTTTATCTGCACACACATTTTAAATAGTGCTATAAGTCACAACTTTCAAGCAAAATGGATACAAATGTGCAAATTGACATACAAACCTGAATAGTTTTGCCATCAGACAACCTTGATGCATGAATGCGCCATTTACACCCCTCATGCTTGCAGTGGGCAATGAGTCTTGTTGGATCTGTTTGCAAATTAGAGAGTTCAAATCCTGTAACAACCGCAAAGTGCCTAATAGCTTTTCTGAATGTTATCATGTCAGGAAAAACAGCTTCCTCCTTAATCATTGGCATCTCAGGGTTATGAAGAACATTAAACTCTGCTGGGTCATCATCAGTGACCTCAACCTCACCATGAGGTTGAGCAGTCCCAGAAGGTCCACCAGGTTCAGCATTTTCAGCACATGGTTCAGCATTTTCAGCACTAGGTTGACCAGAGGTTTCAGCATGATCTGTAGGTGGAATGGTGTGAATAGGTTGAATATAAATTCCCTCATCATCAACACCCACATACTCCTCCTCCATGTCAAACACATTAGGCAATGTTTCATCCGCTTCTTGAGTTGCAGGTTCACTTGAAACTGCCACTTTAGATGCAGATGCTCCCTGCCCTGTCTGAGTAAGTGGAAGAACACACAATGGCATTGATGTTGGCTCTATGTTATTAGCACTAGCATCGCAGAGTACACTCTCAACAACTAAGACCATTAATTCAGCATGCATTTCTGACTTGTACATTTCAAACATGTCAACCAGTTGAGATTCATGGACAATTCTAACGTCCTCATTACTGCCCTTGTCCAAAAACCACACGGTTGCAGTCTGCTGCTCACCCCATCTAACCTCTGAGCTTAAGCTTAGCATCAACAAATCCAAAGAGAAGCTACCATACTCAACATCCCATTTCAGCACACAACCCTTAGTATACCTCCGTCTACCATCCGAATCTATGGTGGTAAAACCATGAACCTTTAACTCTATCGAGAACAACAGTGTATTGACATTGGAATGAAATCAAGTCAACCACACATGGAATGCACAGAAAAAAAAACCTACACATCCAGCTCACAGCACATCGAATCGAAGGAATCGACTACCTTACCTTGATTTGGGCTCCATCCCTTGCAGTACGTTTCCTACCCCTCCATGGAAAGAAAGAGTCGTCGCCGCTGACGCCGTAGACGCCGTCGCCGCCGCCGCCGAATACGCCGCTGCTGCCACCGTAGACGCCGTCGTCACCGCCGCCGAAGATGCCGCCGCAGCCGTCGTAGCCCGCGCCGTCGCCACCACCGCCGCCGCCGCCGTAGACGTTGTCGTTGCCGCGGCCGCCGTAGATGACGTCGCCGCCGTCGTCGCTACTCCTGCTAGGGTTAGGTCTAAGAGAACGAGAAAGGGGATAAAATGTGTGCTACTCCTGCTGACCCGACTCCAGTCGGTATAGCCGGTCAAACGGGGGCATTTTGGTCATTAAGAACAAATTTTAGTCACACGTGGTCAACAATCGCTGATCAGGCGTAGAACATGGCATGTTTCCAGTATCGTGCGATTTGTAATGGCATCTTTACAATTTGTCAAATAGTAATGGTATTTTTCCAAACCTTCAAATTAGTAATGGCATGTGTCTAATTAACCCAAAGAAGAACGATATCTTCTTGGGAGTGGATTCTAATCCCTCGAGGGGATATCCCCTTATATACCTTTTTCTTCTAAATTCGATGCAAATAGTTGTGAAAAATTCTAAAAAAAAATTGACAATGTAGAGTATAATGATTCCTACTAGTCCACCAAAATTCATGTTCAAATTCGATCTACACATCGAGAAACAAAAAAGACAAATTTAGATATAAACAGTACGCTACTATTCATATGCTGAATTTGTCTTTTTTATATCTTGACGTGTGAGTTGAGTTTGGACTTAAGATTTTGTGAAGTTGTATATATGTGTTGTATGAATGTTGTCAAATTTTTCCAGAATTTTTCATGACCGTTTAGATGGTTTTTGAGCAAACGAGGAAACATCCCCTCGAGAAATTAGAATAGTTTCCCTATCTTCCTTGCTATATACCTACTCAGTACAACAAAGAGAGTAATTCATATGAGCCCTACCTGAGTAAATTAGTTTTTTTAGTCAAAAAGATGTGCCATGCCCTATACTAGGTTTATTTTTTATGGGACAGAGGGAGTAAAGTTTTAGCCTTTGACACATGTGTTAAGTAGTTGCCTTCTTAATGTGGGTAAGATATAGGTCTGAACTAGTTAGGGCCCCTTTGAATCGAAGGGTAGAAAAAAACGGAGGAATAGGAAAAACACAGGATTCTGACAGGAATTGAAGTGTAAAACAGAGGATTGCAAAACACAGGAAAAACACAGGAATGGTCGTTTGATTGGAGCACAAGAAAACGCAGGAATCGGATGAGAGAGATAGACTCAAAGAAATTTTCCAAGAGGTTGGAGCTCTTGCTAAATTTCCTCCAAAATCCACATGCAATATGCCATTCCATAGGAATTTCATAGTATTTGGAAAACTTCAATCCTTTGAATCAAAAGGCTAAATAGGAAATTTTCCTATAGGATTTGAATCCTATGAAATTTCTACATAAATCCTTTGATTCAAAGGGGACCTTAGAGTTGTAACAAACCAATGGGTAGTGCGGATAGTGTGGGCAGTAAAATGATAAAAGTCACATTTAAAATGATAATTGTGGATAGCTCTTTTCACTTGTCTTAAAATAAGTTTACTTTTAGAATAATCGTTGCGCTAGAGTTTGTGAAAGTAGAAAATATTTATATTGAAAGGATAAAGAAATTGAGAAATAGTTGCATTTGAATTTGATGACGTAGATGTATTCTAGTCCTTTTGTTTTGTATTGGGATGTGCGATTAGTGAAAAATAAATTTATTTCAAGAGGGAGGAAGTAAGGGCCCCTTTGAATCGCAATATTGAGAAAACATAGGAATAGGAAAAACGCAGGATTTTGATATGAATGTAAGTGTAAAACACAGTAACAACTTACAAATGATCGTTTGATTGGACCGCAGGAAAAACACAGGAATAGAGGAGAGATAACGATTCAAAGGAAAGTTTCCACGAGGTAGAATCTCATGTTAGATTTCCTCCAAAACTTGCATGGTATTAGGCATTACGTAAGAATTTCGTAGGATTCCATAGGATTCATTCTTTTAATTCAAAGGTCTATATAGGAAGAATTCCTATAGGAACAAAATCCTCTAAGGTCCCTTTGATTTGTAGGAAAAGTGTAGGAAATTTGAAGGGTTTCAATCCTATGGAATTTTTTTTATGAAAGTCTTTGAAACAAAGGATTGAATCCTATACAATCCTTTAAAATTCCTATGAAATGGACAATCCTATATAGATTTTGGAGAAAAATTAGCAAGAGGTCTAACCTCTTGGAAAAATTCCTTTGAGTCTATTTCTCTCATTTGATTCTCGTGTTTTTCCTGTGGTCTAATCAAACGGTCATTCCTGTGTTTTTTTCTGTATTTTCTATTACTCTATTTTACACTTGCATTCTTGTCAGAATCCTGCGTTTTTTCTATTTCTCTATTTTTCCATTCTTGCGATTCGAAGGTGCTCTAAAATTCTTATAAATTTTCTTTGAATCAACTGCGGTCTAAAGGTGGAGCATACTCCTAGACTCCTCCTAGCTGGTCTCGTAGGTTTTGATAGCTGTGTGGAAGAGCCAAAGGGGAGAGCACTTTAAGTGAATGGTCCAATAACAGTGACAGTCCTTGGAGCGTGGGAGTACTCCAGAAACCGGGGCAGGTGGTGCGTTTAAAGGATACCTCTCCATTTCCTTTCAGGGTCTCTCCAGCTATTCATGGCCAGTCGGTAGAAGTATACACATATATACTCCACTGTAGTACATCAATGCCAAGGAGCAGAGATGTTACTGGATCAGAACAAAACTGTGTCCTGCAGTTTATAGCCAGAAAGAGAGAACATCGAGCGCATTCATAAACAGCGTCATCAATGCCAGCCCAGAGAGGCAGAGGCAGAAGAGTTCTGATTGGTCACCACCAATCAGCCAATAGGAGGAGACGCAATTGTACTATGGTGCAGAGCTGCTGGTACGGCAGCCACTGTGCAGCGCAGCCCACCCAACACGGCCTTTTTCTAACCCACCAGATTTTGCTGGGCCTTTGGATCGCTTTCTGGGCCAGACCAAAGTTGAAGTTGATCGAGGAGGAGCATCCCATTCCATTCCCGGGCCATTTGCAAGCCTAGAAAAGGACGCGGAAGGCGAACCGGATTCTGGCCCGGCCCCCTTTGGCCCCTTTCGGTCGGGTCATCCATCCAGCTGTACCACACTACTCCAACGTTGACCCGCGCGACAGCGACCGCCCATCGGACGACGGCTCACGCTACGAATCAGATGCCCCAAACGACGAAAGAAAAAAAACAATTCCGCTACTACTACCACCACTAAAAGCAGCTCGCTGTGTCACTGCCGAGTGGGCCCGGCGCGCCCAACCTTACCCGCGAAGGAAGGGAGCGACCCCCCCGACCCCGAGCCTTTTGCGGTCCCCACCCCGCAGTGTGATGGCACGTCGTGGGGCCCACGGTGGCTGACAGGTGGGCCCGCAAGGCGGAGTTAAAGTGAGCGACCGGCCCTCCCTCTTCTTGACTTGCGCCACCCCACCCCACCCAAACCCCCACCGCCGGAGGAAGGAGGAGACGCCGCCGCCGCCGCCGCAGCCATGTCGGGGGGAATCGCGCGCGGCCGCCTCGCGGAGGAGCGGAAGGCGTGGCGGAAGAACCACCCACACGTCGGTGCCTCTCGATCTCAACGCCTCCCCTCTTTTTTTTTTTAATCCCTTTTACATGTCGCGCCGCGGGGCTTGATCCCCCTGATCTGTGTTCTGATTTGGTTCCGTAGGGTTTCGTCGCCAAGCCGGAGACGTTGGCCGACGGGACGGTCAACCTCATGATCTGGCACTGCACAATCCCCGGCAAGCAAGGGGTAAGCATCGCCCTGAATGCTACACTGAATTTAATAGTAAGAGTACAACTTGAAATTCGAGAGGCCTCTCTGGTTCTCGTCCGATTCTGAACCAGGATGGTTTCGATGGTTATCCCGTTAGCTATCCACTGTGTTATCAGATGGATCTCTTCAGGCGGAGATTATTTCAGTGCCATCTCCCTCTTGTTTTGGGAGATCGGAATTAGGGATTGTGCTGTAGTACATTTGTTGCCATGGCCTGGGTTTGAGGTGTGGTGCTTTTGTGCCGCGAAAAGACTGTCTTTTTTTTGGGCTAGCCAAACTGTTTTCACCATAGATCGAAGTTGAGTTCTGGTTCACTGTCAGTCACCAAGCTTTTGCATGATGTGCTTACATGCTTTAAAACCAGTCTTCATTTCAGCAACTACTGCAAACCGTAGGTAGAAGGGAGTATTGCCTCAAATGATATATCAAAGGGTGAAACCAGTCTTCATTTCAGCAAGACAGCAACTACCATAGGATGAAGGGAGTATTGCCCCGAATGATATATAAAAAGATGGACTGGGCATTAAAATCAAGTGCACACATAAATTCGGTTGAATTATACACGTGGGCTTCTGCAAGTTCTTATCATTTACTAGGCCAAATAAGCGAGTAGAATGTCATGAAAAAGATAATACTACTCAGTAGGTCTGGATTAACACTATTTCATATTTGTTGCGGGTTCTCTTTTATGGTCAGATTCAGCTTTGACAAAAGACAACAAAGAGGAATAGTGATTGCGTGTGTCATGTGCGTGCATGAGGGACCATGTGCAGTCTCTCCTTCAGGAGTTTGACCAAGTTAGGAGTCCTTGAGATAGAATAGCTCGATTTCTTGTTGGCTCAGTTTGGTCTAGAAGAAGTTTGAACAAACTAGAGAGCATTTGAGCAGGAATTGCTGACATTTATCTAGCCTTTTAAAAGTGGCATGCGTAGTACTACCTCCGTACACTAAAGGATGACGCTTTAATGTTGGGCACAGAGAACAGCACAGTTTAACTGCTGAGGAAAATAGAAAAAAATTGCCCCTTCATTAGTATTACTAATAGCTCATGCTCCATAAATAATGATAATAATAAATGTTCATGCATTCTAATCCAATGACCCACAAGAGTGCATTGGCATTGATTAGTGCAAGCACCAGTTTGCCACGAGTGGATGTGAGCGAACGCTAGGCCATGCGAATCTCCGATCAAAATATTATGGCTTCCTTAGATTTCAATTAGATACACCAAACGCTCTCTTGAATTAATCCAAAGTTTGGCCTTATAGCTCCCCTTTTTAGGGTAGCGGTGACCGGTGATATTGGAAAAATGTTGCCTAAAAAATCTAAAACATCATCTACTGAAGAACAAAATCAAAATCCTAAAACATCACATAAAAGGGCAGGGGTAATAACATTTTGAACTTGTTAGCACACCCTCAGGCCTTGCTCTGCACATTAGTTGTGATGTGAGCCAAGTTTCACATTATTCAAGCTAACACGATCTCTTACAAAACATCACCATCCAGAGATTTTCATATCTTTACATGTATTACCACTGTCTGGTAACATTATCTTAGTGTTTTAGAAAATATATGAAACCCAGTAAGTTCCTGGCAACCTAGGCTGTCCTGCCATTTGTAGGTGCTTTGGTGTGATTTAGGATATATTAATGTTCCTTCTATCTGAAGCAAATATAAATTAAGACTTTGAAACATGTCCATATTTACGTGTTACAGCTTTTTTTAATACTCAGAATCCTTTGAAACATGTCCTTGGTGGTGTAACACAGTAATATATATTTTTTTCCTGAAAAGACTTATTTTTTCTGTTAACAAACAAAATTGTTTGCTTTTACTTCATCAGTCTTCTATATTTCTAACGTGTTGATTGATGTTATGCTTTGAATTCTTGCACATGGTCAGCTTATATGTTACTTTCTCAAGCTTGTCATACTTTACAAAACTACATTCTTATATTGCTTCTCTGTTCATGTAGAGAAGTGTTTGTAAAAAGGCATTGCAGCTAGAAGCCTATAACTAATGCACATCTCTCTCTCTCTCTCTCTCTCTCTCTCTTTTGGCAGACTGATTGGGAAGGTGGATACTTTCCTCTCACTCTTCATTTCAGTGAGGATTACCCTAGCAAACCTCCCAAGTGCAAGTTCCCACAGGGTTTCTTCCACCCAAATGTCTATCCTTCAGGGACAGTCTGCCTTTCAATTCTTAATGAAGACAGCGTAAGCTTTACAAGCATTTATTAGGTTTTTAGCAATCCCAATTTAGATATCATTTATAACTGTTCTGATTTTCTGCTTTCAGGGTTGGAGACCTGCTATTACCGTCAAGCAAATTCTTGTTGGAATCCAGGACTTGCTTGATCAGCCTAATCCTGCTGATCCTGCTCAGACCGATGGTTACCATCTTTTTATCCAGGTTAGCCATCAGTAAAAAGTGACCAATCAGGGTTCTGCTAATTTTTACTATAAATCAATAATGCTAAGATATTCAAGCTTTGTAGTTTTAATGTGCTCTTTGGGTTTGCAGGATCCTACGGAATACAAGAGGCGTGTTCGGCTGCAGGCCAAGCAGTATCCTCCGATTGTCTGAGAATATTGGCATAGGGACCCATGCTGCACATTCGCTTAGTTCTTGCTAGATCTAAAATGAGTGCCTCTGCAAATATGGATTAGACCAAAATATGACCTGGAAAAAGGGTGCTTTCGGAGTTTGAGAAGTATTATCATCGTTGTGGACTAATGTCTTGTGAGATCCGTCTTGGATGTAAACGGTTTTCTTAACTGTGATTTTTCAACCGTTTGAGTGCTTGCTTTATGGGATAATGTCAAACATTGGTTTGGCAGGCAATCTCAAGAGTATTGCTATTTCTGTGCTAGTCTATATGAAAACCCAGATTAAATTCGACGAAACATATTAGTTTGCAAAAAGATGTGGCAACTTCCATATTTTCTGCATTTTTTTCTGTTTTGATCCGGATCTGTCGGCTATACAGAGGTGAAAATAATGTAAACGTCGGAGGCGTAAGTACACAGTGCACCTGCTTTGCTCAGAATTTCTCTAACCTTAATATTGACTTGCTCTGCTGGGATTTTCTGTAACCTGAACATTCTCTGGCAGTTATGCTATCGCCGGTATATCTCTGGCAGCAATAGCGTTAAGTTACCGATACGTACTAGCGCTGGGTTTTCAGACAATAACGATGGACTTCAACTACGGACGACGCATAATTACCTTGTACAACTACAAAGCTGGGAAGCTAATCTTTTGTTCCTAGTCAATTACGATGTGAAATTGTGATCAGACCAGTGACTTGTACAATTACCAGATGATTCAGCACAATGATGATATCTTTAGTTTGGTACTGCTAGTGCCTTGCACAATAGCAAGGTTTATGTTTTGTAAAGAGCTGCCGTTTACTCTTACTCTCTTCGTCCCAGAATATAGCAATCTAAAATTGGATGGGACGTATCTTAATACTACGAATCTGGATACGTCTCATCCGATTCTTGGTTGCTATATTCTAGGACGGATGTAGTATTTATTATGCAGCATATACACTTCATCCCATCCGATCTTGGTTGCTATATTGCGGGACGGATGTAATATTTATTATGCAGCATATACACTAATTTTGTGTATACATTGACTATACGTTTGATTTTTCTTTGCACAAGGATTTAAGTAGAATGGGACGATTGTCCGCTCAAAAAAATAGAGGAAAAGGCTATACACAAATTTTCTTACTGAACTCTAAAAAATCTAAATTGTTTACGACTCTCATCCAGTTAAATCAAGCGGTTGAAAACTTTATCGTAAAGAGTTTTATAATAAGATTGTTCAGTTTTATAGAGTAAGATTTTCTTAAATGCGTGTAGGTCATTAGCGTTCGTGTTTATACTATGTTTCTTTTTCTTTAAAAAAAAAAGGCAATTGCAACACATTTGTTATGGTGGCCATGTCCCAAGTGGATAGACGGTCCTGATCTTCTGCCGTGCTGTTCTGCTGGTGTTGCCGCATAACCCACGGCGGCGGCGCGTAGGCAAAGCCGGGAGGAAGGATTAGGGTTTAGGCGGCGGCCATGGCAGCTGAGGAGCAGACTCCGCGAACCAAACCCAGCACCGGGAACAGCAAGAAGAGGAAGAAGCCCAGGAAGGACAAGTGGGGCCAGCCTATCATCGACGCCGGCGATCGCCCGGCGGTTGAGCCGGAGCCTGAGCCAGAGCCGGAGCCTGTCCCAGCGCCCGCAGCGGCGGCGGCGGCGGAGGAGGAGGAGGAGGCGGGGATCTATGAAACCGGCAAGGTGGTGGCCAGCGGCCTGCCGTACACCACCACCGAGGCGGAGATCCGGGAGCTCTTCGAGCGGTTCGGTCCCCTCCGGTCGCTCCAGCTCTCTCGCTTCCCGGACTCCGGCAACTTCCGCGGCCTCGCGTTCGTCTCCTTCGAGGTAACTGTCGAATTAACACTTCTATTATGCTCCATTTTATTTCCATCTTGATGTTGCACCAAATAATTTCAGCATCCGTATGATTGTACTACTATTTGTCTTAAGTTGTCCTGGACTTTGGAGGTAACAAATGGTTGGCCGAATGCTCATTTGCAGCCATGGCCGCTTCATCCTCTACCTGAAATTCTGAATCAACTTGGTGTTATGACTTGCTAGTTGCTACAGAGGAAGTTGCTGTTATAGTCTTATGGTCTGCACCTATCCGATTATTGTTACATTGCTCTGATTGTCGTTTCACTGGTATTGAGAAATGTCGTTCTACTGGTGTATGTATCATATTAAAAGCCTTGTATAGTTGTATTCCTAATCTTATACTACAATCCTTGGATGTCTGTGCATGGAACAATACTGTATGTCATGACTTTGTTGGATCGATGGAAAGCTGATAAAGAAATAAAATTTTTAACAGTGGAATTCCTTTTCATACTATATTTGTAATTTTCATTTGTCATGGAACATACTTGCCAAAGTTGGTTACTTTTAGTTTGATTTGATAGACTGATTTTGTTCTACTGTGCCATTTCAGTCAAACGAGGTGGTAATGAAGTCTCTTGAGCTTGACGGATTCAAAATGTAAGGATGAGGAGTGGCTATTTCTCTTCAACTCATGGAAGCACGCCATGGAGCATTTGCTCTATACTGATATATGCATTGTGTTTACAGTGGCAACAGGTTTATGAGAGTTGAAAGATGCAGGTTGGCTGCTGGCTCGAAGAGGAAAAGGACTGTGGAGTTCCAAACTGATCCTAAGAAGGCTGATGGGTGTCTGTCAGCATATGTTGGCAATCTCAAATGGGATGTTACAGAAACAGACTTAAGGGACTTCTTCAAGTCACTGAAGATTTCATCGATAAGGTTTGCTATCAACAAGAGAACAGGTGATTCTCGTGGTTTTTGTCATGTTGATTTTGAGGACGACGAGTCGCTTGAGAAGGCTGTAGGAATGAATCAATCTGAACTGCGCGGCCGACCTATCAAGATATCATATGCTGTCAGTAACAGGGGCTGAAGGCTACTAGATAGTAAACTTTGAGCATGAGCGAGCCTCAGTGTTATGCTTTTGCTCCCTCAGTTTTGTTACGGTTATATATCCGTATTAAGTTTCTACTGAAAGTGTTGTTTCTTGCATCAATCTCTATGTAGAATGTAATTCACCGTGTGACAAATACTTGGTGCTACTTAATATCGACCTTATAAACACTTCTCAGAAATCTCTGTCAAATATAACTATCTGGTCATAGCAGTGGCGACTGATGTTGGAATGTTGTCTCATTGAGTTTGATGTCGAGGGCCTAAAGTTAGTAATTGTTGAGCTCAGAACTAAACCTAATCTTTTAGAGTATTATATCCCATCTGAATAGACGTTCTTTAACTAGAGTATATGCTTTTCACAGTACTTGTTTGCAGGGAATGCCTTCTCCAATGCATTTTAACGTCTCCCTGAGGCACGCACGCCTGCTGTCAATGCTTGATGCTGTCTGCTGTCCACTGCCTGATGTTTTCTGGTTGGTTTTATGCATCTTTTGTGGTGCCCTGGGAGGGGTAACTATGCTCATAATACTGTCCATCTCATGATATAGAAAAAAGGCAGTCGCTGAGCTCATCACTACATGGACAAGGATTTTGTTTGTTTCAGGTCTTGTTTGTCGACGCATTCATTCACTTCCCGTCCTGGCAAGAACATGTGGTCAGTAAATAAGATGCCCGTGATATCTCATTATGACAAGAACATGTCTCTGATTTTCTGGCCGCTGCGGGGCCCTGTGTTCTTGCAATGGAGGAGACATTGCCCGGTTGTGAAGTTCAGATTTCAGACCCTGTTGGCTTTGTGCCGTGCTTGGTGCTTCTAATTAACTGGAATGATTCTCCTGTGTTTGGTTAACCCAACTACTACTTGCTCCTACCACTAGTTGATAGTTGCAACTGAGCTTTGGCCCAATCTGAACAGCTGAAACGCGCCTGATCAGATTAAAATCGGAGATCTGTGTGTGATCTGTTCCTGGATATTGATCAGATTACGCAAAGGAACGTCGTTTTCCTGTACGTACGTAGCTTGCCTGTCAGGTGTGCAATTGGCATCCGTGGAACGGCTTGCTGGAGGAGCATGATTGATTGATTGCCATTTGTTCATTTCTCGGAGATAGCTGGCTAACCGCTGGATGATGATTCGAGTTTTCTCTCTCTGTCCCGAATGGAAACGATGAACTCGACAAGCTGGGAGGACACGGATCGGGAACGTCCTTTTCTCGATCATTTCAGCACGGGAAGGAATCGACCAGCTCAAATTAAAACGAGGTGCTCCTTATAATAGTAGGATTGAGATAAGAGCATCGGTTTGGGCCCAGGTTCTCAAGCAGCATCGCGTCCACGTCCAGCCACACTAATCCAGGTCGGACTCGTGCCCTCCCCGAGCACTAACATTACAACGAGGCGCCTATAAATCGGGTGTCCGATTTTTTTTTTAATCAGGCTCTGTTTCATCAAGTAGATCGAATATGTTTAACTAAATAGATCGAAAATATTTCAGTCTTTTAAAAAGCTGTAACACAACTAAATCACCTCATTAAACATTTTGATACAACGTATGAAACAACGATTTCTAAAAAATCGAGCGTTGTTTCACCCTATATAAAAACAATGTTTCAGCAAATAGCGACAAAATATTTCAATTCACTGTAACATTTGATCTATACATAGTAAAACATTATGAGTACACTAGGTGAAACTTTTTTGTGGAAAAAAAATGAAATGGATTTCCTTAGCAGAGAGTTTACATAGTATACTGGTGATTTATTGCAAAAGAATATTTCAACTCACTGCAACATTTGATTCATACATAGTGAAATATTATGAGTACATTAGGTGAAACATTTTAGTGGAACAAAAAATGAAACAAATTCCCTTAATAGGGGGTTTCCGTAATATGTAGGTGATTTGTTGCAACGGCGTGCGTGGTGGGGACACATAGCGGGAGCGGTGCAGGACACGTGGCGGGGGCGGCGCGCGCGGGAGGCACGGCGTGGGGGCGCCCGATTTTAACTCCCCCGCTAGATGCTCGATTTGAGATAATTTCACCATTACAATCACTGGTACATGAATCTTACTCTTCTATATATTGCCTCACACGTTAACACATGTATCTTAAAATGATTTGAACCTGTCCTCCCCTCTCCATCGCCATCCACGGCAATCAATCCTGAGACTTGCAGCGTGCAGCAACCATGTCGTTGCTTGTTCGTTTTCCAGCTCTATCATGTTAATCTTCACAATTTGGCCGGCTTCGGACGGCCCGAGCGAGAAAGAAAATCTTGAAGGTATCTTCTGCTGTTGCTGGCAGCATCGTCGTAGCTGGATGCCGCGATCCCTGTCACTGGGCGACTATTACGATACACATCGTCGTACACTTTAAACACCATCTGGAGTAGTAAGTTTTTTTTTCCCCCAAACGATGACATAAAATCAGCCGTGCTGGTCCAAGGATCTGCCGTCTAATTTGCTTTTGCGAGGTAGTCCAGTACATTATTTCCTTCACTTGAAATGTTTGAAGAAAAAAACATATCAAATTCATATAACATCGATTTTATGTTGATCACACACGTCACAGGTGGTGTCCTAAACACAACCTGATCGAGATTCGAGAGAGACATGTATATGCTTAGCGTCGGATTAGTACTAAAAGACGGGATCGGTTTCGGTTTACATCATCCTGAGCGGCTGAGCGTGAGCATTTACTCATTTAGAGTGAATTACGCTTTGGGCCATATTTTATTATCTATATTTCACTTTGGACTATCCTTAAACGTATCTTTTCACTTTGGATTGGATAAATTTACCATTGTTGCGATTTGGACCACCACGAATGATTTTTTTCTCATACAATCAACAACCTTAAACACATCAGCTCTAGTATACAGTCGATCTCCTCTATATATGGTTCATATGTTTGCTGAAAGAGAAGTTAAATATGACGAGAAAAGTTGTCACGGTAGTCTAAACCGCAACAATGGTAAATTTACCCGGTCCAAATTGAAAAGATAGATTTAAAGGTGGTCCAAAATAAAATTTAGATAATAAAAGGTGGACCAAATGACAATTTACTCATTTATTTATTTATTTATTTATGTATGTATATGGCCCAAACCGGAAGAAGCGAACAAAAAAAGAGCGGCAACACCAACAAGACGAAGCAAAAAGTCGAGTAAAAAAAGGCAGTAAAATAGGCAAAAGAGAGAGAGAGAAAAAAAAAGCCCGCGAAGGGATAGAGAGAGAGAAAGCGCGGGGGCGCGAACGACAGCAACTGCATCACCCACCTTCCTCTCCTCTCCTCCCCTCCAACTCCCGATCCCCAAATCTCTCGCCCCCACCCATGGATCACCACCACCACCACCTGCCGCCGCCGCCGCCGCGGTCGCCGATGGAGAACTCCGCGTCCTCCAAGCCGCCCACCCCGGCGTCCACCCCGTCGTCGCGCCTCGCCGCCGCGCCGTCCTCCCGCGTCTCCTCCGCGGCGCCGCACCCCTCCCCGTCCTCCTCCGCGCCCACGCCGGCCTCGCGGACGGTCTACAGCGACCGCTTCATCCCCAGCCGCGCCGGATCCAACCTCGCGCTCTTCGACCTCGCCCCGTCGCCGTCCCACCACGACGCCGCCGCCGCCGCCGCCTCCCCCGGCGCGCCGCCCCCCTCCGGATCTACCCCGGCCTCGTCGCCCTACTGCGCGCTCCTCCGCGCCGCGCTCTTCGGCCCCACCACGCCCGACCGGGTGGCGTCGTCGGCGTCCGCGTGCTCCTCCTCCTCCTCCGCCGGGGCGTCGCCCGTGGGCTCACCCGCCACCGGCAACATATTCAGGTTCAAGGCGGAGGTGCCCCGGAATGCTAAGCGCGCCCTTTTCTCCGACGGGGACGACGAGGGCGTGCTCTTCCCCGGGGTGTTCACGACGAGGGGCACTGGCCCCAGGAAGATCCCTAGGTCACCTTATAAGGTGAGAAGTGTTCGCCTTCGATTTCATAGTTTCTTTCAATTGATATGGTCTGTTTCTTGATTGATGTTTCTTTGAATTGAGAAAAACATGGTCTTTATTATTCATCTGCTCTGTACCAAGAATCCTGTGTTATTTGTCATGCATAAAGAGACTGATATGAAAGCTTATTACTCAAAATCTCACATGAATTTTCCTTCTGTTGCTCTTAGGTGCTGGATGCTCCCGCATTGCAGGATGACTTCTACCTGAACCTTGTGGATTGGTCTTCGCATAATATCCTTGCAGTTGGATTGGGGAATTGTGTCTACTTATGGAATGCATGCAGCAGCAAGGTGAGCCAACTGCGGCCATCCATGCGCATTCTTGTTTGGGTACTTGAAGAGGGTTTGTAAAGAAGTTTATTGCTGTGCAGGTCACCAAGCTATGTGATTTGGGGGTGGATGACAATGTCTGTTCAGTGGGTTGGGCACAGCGTGGCACTCACCTTGCTGTAGGGACAAACCAAGGCAAAGTTCAGGTTAGACGTATGCCCCTTTCTGAAATGATCAGATAACATAGTCATGATCCACCAAAATTTGGAACGATGCCTTAGCTTAATCTTTATCTAGAGTGTCAATGGAAACATTGAGAAGTATACAACTCACTTATGGAAAGATCAGAAAAATTGCAATACTATTAACAGTGGACCTAATTTTTCGCACAAATAATATATGATAGACGCAGTAGAGTTTTATGACTAAACTGAATGACTTTCATTTTTACTCCAAAGAATGAATTTGGTCCATTGTAATCTCTGTTTACAAATGTGCTGTAGTATTTGATGATTATCGATTAATCCTGTTGAGCTCTGAAATTGGTATGCAATGCTACAATTTCAATTTGGTGTCTGACTGTCACCTTGGATTTTATCTTATTTAGGTATGGGATGCCACTCGTTGTAAGAGAATAAGAACCATGGAAAGCCATCGGATGCGAGTAGGTGCTCTTGCATGGAATTCATCATTGCTTTCGTCAGGCAGTCGTGACAAGAGCATCCTTCACCATGATATCCGTGCCCAGGATGATTATATTAGTAGACTTGCTGGGCATAAATCGGAGGTGATCTATTTTATACATCATTATGAATTTTCCGACATGTCAGATTCTTGGATTATCCTATTGTGCTCCCTTTTGATATATTCTTATAATATGCATATTCTGTTTCCAAACACCTTTCAGGTCTGTGGGCTCAAGTGGTCTTATGATAACCGTCAGCTTGCATCTGGTGGTAATGACAACAGAGTAAGAATGCATCCATGAATTGTTTCTTGATTGGATCATTGGTATTACATGGAATTCAAGGTTGCAATTTC